ACAGGAGCTCTGGTGGCCATGTGCTTAGGCGTTGGGCTGCTAACTGCAAGGTCAGCAGCTCGAAGCCACCAAATGCTCTTCTGGAAAAAGAGGGGGGCTTTCTACTCCCGTAAAGAGCTACAGTCTCGGAAACTCACAGGGCCAGTTCTACCCTGGCCCACAGGGTTGCTCTGAGTCGACCGCAACTTGATAGCAGTGAGTTTGGATTTTTCGTTTTTGTGTGTGTGTTTTTTCCCCACAAGTCACCCCCCAGGGAGTGTTTGGAGGGCCCGGACCGAGTCTGGGACAAGGCCGAGTTTCAGGGCCAACAGTTTGCGCTGAGAACAGTCTCTGCCTTCTGACCAAGTGGAGGGTAGGAAGGAGACCATAGTGAACTTTTTACCCTCACCCCGAGTCTAGCCTTGCTTCCTGTCTTAGTGGCTGAGGGCAGGCAGCCAGCGGGGTGGGGGTGGGGTGGGGGGTTATTCTCAGTGCTTTGTCTGGTGACTTGGGGCTTATGTGGTATCAGATACTAGAGGTTCCACAGAGCAGAAAGGGGGGCAGGGGGGAGGGGGCTGCGAGGCGCTGGGTGGGCATCAGTGGTTTTAAAGGCATGGTTTTGGGAGACGCCTGTAGAAGTCCTTGGAATTTTCAGACCCCGTTTCCTGAGTGTGTAAAACGAGAACTTGCCCTCCAGTTAGGGGGAGGGTGGTCCTGTTGTTGATGGCTTTCAGGTGGTCACTTGAACTGGGTAACCATGGTGGCCAGCATGTCTTTTCCACCCTGGAGTGGAGGAGGCTGGGGCCCAGCAACCCCTGCCTCGTTTAAGGGGCGTCTACAAGCAGAGGACCCTGCTCTGGGCCAGCCTGTTTTCACCTTAATAATTCAGCAGGTTGTACCTGATTCTCTGAACCCGGGCACCCTGTAGTTTTTTTCTCTCCTGAGAGGTGGTGGCAGCCAGGTCGCTGCGGTGTTCCCTGCCCTGCGGCAGACACGTGGTGGGGGTGGGGGAGCCTGGAGGCTGCTGAAGAATGGCACTGCCCTCCCCCACCCCAACCCCCACCTGCTCAACGGGTGGCCCTGCCCCAGGGGGGCTGCTGGGGGGAGGGAAGAAGGGAGGGAGGGAGTGGGCTGGTTCCACTTGTGCTGGCCACCTGAGATGGCCCCCGGGTGGTGATGGTTGGCTGGCTGATGGCCTGTTGCCCTTGTAAGCGTCTGATCAGACTACCTTGCGCCACATAGAGCTGTCGGGGACCATTTTGCAGCTCCTTGTCAACTTCCAGCCCTGGGAGCCTGGGCCTCCCTGTGGGAGGGGCAGCTCACTTGCAGGGTGCGGCTGGGAGGGGCCAGGCGGGTATGGGGCCTGCCTTCCTCCCCTTCCTGGCCTCCTGGGCCGGGCCACCCCTCCTCCTCCTCCTGCCACGTTACCCCCACCCCCACCTGTGCCCAGCTTGACTGCAGAGTCGGGCCAGGAGGCCTGTGGGAGGGACCACACCTGGGTCAGCAGGGTGGCGGGCTTGGCGGCTACTAGAACTTTCTCTGGCTGGGTGCCCAGCCCAGCCCTTTGCCTGGGGATGGGCTTTGCCCTGCTGCCTGCCTGCCTGCTGTGAAATCAGGGCACCGCCTCTGGGCTCACTCAAAGGATGGCTTTGAGGCCGAGGTGAGCCTGGCCAGGGGCCAGCCCCTTGTGCGTGGGTTTCTCTTGTGATGGCTCAGGGCAGGGTCACCTTCCCCGTCTAGGAAGAGGGGAATTGACTACCGGGAGAGGACAGGCCGGCCTCCTTCCTCTGGGGCTATTGCATCCCAACGTTCCGTGCTCTGCACCCAGCCGAGGGGGTGCTCCGAGAGCCAGAAACCCAGTGCCTGGACCCTCTCAACCACCAGGAGGCCGCCCTCAGGGATAAGGTGCTGCGCAGTCCCACAGGGCCTGGCAGAAGGGCTAACAGCAGGAAATTAAACTCACTGCCACCCAGTCAATTCCTCCCCACAACGGCCCTGTCAGACAGGGCACGACTGCCCCTGTGGGTTTCCAAGGCCGTCAGTCTTTATGGGAGCAGACAACCTCTTTCTCCTGAGGAGCAGCTGGTGGCTTTGAACCACTGACCTTGGAGTTAGGAGCCCAACTCATCGCACATGGCACCACCAGGGCCACCTTTAGGCCTTGAATTTCCCGCTGCTCTGAGGTGACCTGTGAGTTCAGGGGCCCCTCCCAGTTCCCTGGCAGTCAGTGACTTCTCCCAGGCAGCCTGGTGAGCCTCCTTCCTAGAGGATCAGCCTGACCAGCAGGCTTCCTAGGGGCACAGGAGAGAGAGAGCCCGTGGGCAAAGAGGAGCCGGAAGACTCCCTGCCTGGAGCTGGGCCTTCTGCTCCCTGCCCATGCCGTGCCTCTGGAGGGCCTAGGCCCTAGCCTGTCCCTCTGGGGACCAGCTGCAGCTGTAGGGCCAGCCTGGTTGTGGTGGAATCAGCGGCAGCTGGGGTGTCTCCCTGCAAGCCTGTGCGGTGTGCTGGGGCCTTTGCACCCCCTTTGGGGCCTGCGGCCTCCCGTTTCTCCCTCTGCTCCCCCGTGGCCCTCTCGACCCTTCCTGCCCCACCCCATGGTTGTCTGCTCTTCTCTGTGGGGTTGCTTCCTGGGCCCTCCGGTCTCCTCCCCTCCCCTCCCTTTGGCTTGGGTGGTTCATGTGTCTCTGCTGGGCTCACTCGATGGAGCCTCACTGGCCTGGGGTCCCACTGCTCTCTGGGGCTCCTCTCCACTGGGCTCTCCCTTGCTGCCTGCCTTCCCCGCCGCCCGCTCTCTGCCCTGCCCTTCTCTGGGTGCTTGGCACGCCCTGCTCAACTGTGGTCCTGCTCCTTCTGTAGGGCATGGTAGACACCCTCACCTGGGCCCCCGTCTGTCACTGTCCCTCCCTGCTCTCTACCCAGCCCCTTCTCTTCAGCCTGAGGAGCCCTGGTGGCATCGTGGTCACGCGGTGGGCTGGAAGGTCACAGCCACTCCAAGGGACTGAAGACAAGGTTCTCTGCTCCTGTCCTGCGCTCCAGTCTCCATAAGGCTCAGGCAGGGTCACTAGGAGTCCACACTGACAGGATGGCCCTGAGGGGTCTGTTTCCATTTTTGTTTTGTCTTCTAAATCCCTAGCCTGAGGGCACAGACTCAGGGAGGTGTTGGAAAGGCCCTGGAGCCTGGGAATGGCCGGCCCACCCTTGACCTGGATGCATTGGGATCCTGAGCCCTGGGGCTCTCCGCTTAGGGAGCTACCCCTGGCAGGTGTGGCAGAAGTTACCATCACTCGGGGAAGGCTACATACTGCCCCTCCCTGGGTGCCTTGCTACAGGAGGGGATGCTCGGTGAGGCCTCCATTGGGCCCTGGACGTTGTGCACAGCCCCCTGGGGCTTCCATGACGGTTGGGTGGTGGGTTGTCCGGCTTCTTTGTGTATGGATAATGACCCCGGGGGTCTTCGGATCCCACTGTCTTCTCCCTGTGTTCCCAAGGAATGTGCCCCCACCCCCTGAACAGCAGTCTAGAAACACTCGCCCTCTCCCTGTGGCTCGGGCACAAGGGCAAACCCCTGGCCCTGTCCGGTGCCAGGCTCGATGTGACACAGAGCCTCCTTGTCCTTTGGCGGGCGTCAGGAGGCCTGGTGCTCCCACCCGTGATGCCGGGGAAGCAGCCCCTCGGGCCCCACAGCAGCTGGAGAGGGTGTCCCAGGCCAGGTCACCTCCCACCGCCATGGTCCGTGAGGTCAGTAGGGGGTGGCCGGAAGCACTGGCTCTGCAGGCCCAGTGGGGGCTGCTGCCCACACCAGCATGGGGGCAATCCACAAGGACTTCTTCCCCCAACTCACGCCACCTCGGGACCGGTCTCTCCCAGAAGGCCGGCAGCGGCACCAAGGCCTGCGGTGTACTCCGGGTGTGGGGCCCCGGCTGAGGACAAGGGTGCTGCCCAGGGACAGCAGGCTCAGCCGCTGCCCGGGCCCCGAGCCTTCCCCTGATCTGTTCTGCCTCGACCCTCATGATCCACAGGGCTTTTGTTGGCTAAGTTTTGAAGGCGGGCAGCCAAGCCTGTCCCCGGACGTCTGCCCCACTGGAACCCGGGCTGCAAGCTGACCCCGTCCTGGTCCTGGGACCAGAGTAGTGCTGTGCCCAAGGGGGTGAGTTCAAGGCCGTTACTCTCCTGCAGCAGCCCCAGGCCTGTCCACCTCCTGGTGGGTTTGAACCGCCCACCTCTCAGCAAGTACTAGAACTGAGTGGGTGCTACCCTTTGGGGAGTGGTGAGGGGAGTGGGCAGGAGGATTCTCTGGTCAGCCCCAGAGTCTGGGCCCGGGCAGGGTGAAGTGTGTGTGTGGGCGCCAGCAGCAGGGGGTGCTGTGGCCAGCCCTGTGCCCAGTCGGGCCACATGGACGGCACAGGAGAGAGTGGACAAGAGGGAGATAGGTAAGGGCTGACACTCCCAAGAGCTGCCCTGAGCTTGGGCTGGAGAGGCTGGAGCAGGGCCTGGGATTTGCTGGAGGGGACCCGGCAGGTGGTGCAGCGAGTGGTTGAAGTGCTTAGCTGCCCCTGAAAGGGCCAT